TATATATATATATATAACAGTGGGGCAGTATGTGAGTAGGCTAAGCCTGTATGTATTTTGATTCCGCTGGTGTTTGTAGGGAAAGTGGGAAGAAGCACTGCGTGTAGCTCGACGTGTCCTACCTGGAGAAGTGCAACAGCTGCTGCTGCAGCAGGCCAAAGCAAAAGTAGCCGCAGAGGACCTCCAGGTACAAAACACGAATGGAATGCCAACAGCGTCACGTGGGAGGCGACGTATATTTCTTTGGTGTATATACAGTGTTTTGTGGATACACGCAGTGCCTGGGGTGTACACGGAGCACGCGATGTGCTACTGTACGTTGTAGGGGTGACTACAAAGTCGTATATTCTTAGTTGATGCCAAATAGGAGCGTATGCCGGTTGAGAGCTACACATGGCGTATACATTTACGCATTTGTGCATCTTTCAGTGGCGCTATACACTCGGACACTGAAATAAAAGCATCACTTACACATATGACGTGAAACTCCAAGTATATCTGGATGTATCAGCAACGCTGCATGACACTGAGCAGATGCTCACCATGTCGTTCTAAATGCAATAGTGGCGGCAATTACCCAAATGTGGAGCCGTACAATGGACTTTTTCGCTGCCACATTTGCTGCTGCTGTTGCTATTGGTGCCGTTGTTGCTGCTGCTGTTGTTGCTGCTGCTGTTGTTGCTGCTGCTTTTACTGTTTCTGCTGCTACTGGTGCTGCTGCGTCTGTCTAGGGAGCTGAGGAGGCGCTGGTCGAAGCGGGGCGGGAAGACGTAGCTGTGCAGCTGCTCGTTCGCAAAGCAAAGTGGGCAGCGGCAGCTCGCCTCTGCGGACGCCACGCTCCACATTTGTTGCCTCAGGTGCTTCAACAGCTGCAGCTGCAGCAGCAGCAGCACAAACAGTTCAAATCGCTGCAGGAACTATGCGAGTTTTGCCATGTAAGCGCAACCACTGCGTAGTGAGGAGGTGCCCGCTGTGTTGAGTATTTAGGCTGTCTCCATGCCCGTCAGAAAAAGTATAGTATTTATTGTTGAGAGTCTACAGTTAGATCCAGAGAGGGCTGCGAAGCGCCGTGGTGACTCCACCCAAACACTGAGCCATCAGAGATGTTCTGTGCGCCGATGGCGAGCCTTCAAGCGTTTAAGCGTTTAGAGTTCAGGATCTACGGTGTGCGGTGAAGGCATTAGAACAAGCAAAGGCGGTTGAGGAGGCAGTCGATTTCTGTTTGGCTATTACTGACGTCCCCCCAGCTGATCCGCAAAACCTTCGCGACTTTTGGCTACACGCGGTGAGGTTGCAGCATTCTCTTCGAGAAAACACAGAGTGACCATCTGCCACAACTGCTGCTGCTGCTGCTGTTGGTGCGGTTGTTGCTGCTGATTATGATAATTATGGTGATGTTGGTCCTCGTGATTTTGCTGCCACTGTCACCGTTACTGTAGCCTGCTCCTGCCACCGTCTTTGCCACTGTTGATGCGTTTGCTGTTTTGGCTGCTGCTGTTGTCGTTGTTGTTGTTGTTGCTGCTGCTGCCCATCAGGTGAAGCTAGCCAAAGGCCTTGGCGGATCTCGCCATGCTGCTCTTGCTGGCCGTGTTGCAGGAGAGCTGCAGCAAATGGGAGACACAAAAGCAGCAGGTGAAGTGCTGTTGTCAGCAGGCAGGACGAAGGAGGCCCTACAGGTACTTGTACACCTTGTTTATTCGAATCTGATTGAGTTTTGTTGTCTATGCGTGCTTAGGTGTCTTCGTGTGCTTAGAGGTCTTTGTTTGCTTCTTTCTGGTTTCTTCTTTGCTCAACTACCGCAGCTGACGTTGAGGCAAGCCAGCAAGTGCATGAATGCCAGCATGCGTACATGCACATGAATGCGCTGCAGTGCTATATAGCTGCTGAGGACTGGGCAACGGCGAAGCGGCTGGCAGCGTGTTTAGGAGAGGACGCGGAGACAGCGGTGTCTCTGAAGCAGCGGCTGCTGCTTCAAGAGAAAGGTGACATTACAGGTTTACTGCAGGCAGGCCACACGGACGCTGCGTTGCTACTTCTGGCTGATAACAACGAGTGGACAAAGTGTCTCCAGGTCGCAGCAGAGAAAGAGTCTCCTTTGTTCCTCCAACTTCTCTCTAGAAGAGTCCACGTGAGGAGCCTGTTCCTTCTCTTCCTGCAAGAAAGTGTCCACTTCAGTCTGGATACAAATGACTGCGAGAGAGAAATGTGCATCGCTTTCCCAAAATGACTTGGAGAAGGCAGACTAACATCTCCTCTCTGGCTTTTGTGCTTAACGGTTCCTTTGCTTGTGCAGGCGTTGCTGGAGACAGCAAGTGCTGCAGAGGCCGCTGAGGTGCTAATCAGTGCCATGAAAAACAGCAACAGCAACATTAGCAGCAGCACATGCAGAACCACATCTCGCACAGAAAACATGCTGTCTCTTTGCATGAGCATCGCCTCCGCGCTGGAGGTACACCAGCAGAAACAGCAGCAGAGCAGCAGCAGCTGTGGCCCCCCCTCTGACAGCAGTGCAGCAGCCAGCCGACCTAGCAGCCTGATAAAGCGCATGTATCTCATGTGAGTTCTAAGATAAGTGTGGGGTTGCTGATGCCCTTATTTTCATGTCCCTCTCTCTGTGTATATTTTCCATTTGCTAACATTTCCGTTGTTAACGTACTCATAGAAGATGGCTGGTTTGGTATTCGTGTATGCTTCTCTAAGCAGTAGGCCCTAAACCCTAAATCCTGGCTTTTGGCTTTCGTTTAGGGTCTTGAGGGATAGAGACAAACCCCCATCTTTTAGTTCAGTATCTGGTGCTTCTGCGCTACCGGCAAAGTCGCACCAAGTTGCTGCTCCAGCAACTGCTGCTGCTGCTTCTGCTCGTAACTTCTCTGAAGGGCCTTTAGCAGAAGCACAGAAGCAGCTGGTGCGTGTACACCTGGAGGAGGTCATAAGCAACTGCGAAGGGCAGCCGGAGTTAACGGAGATAGCCGCAAAGGCAGCACTTTCTGTCTTGAGGTGAAGTCAAGTTGAAACAACCCCTATCAGATAAATGGCTCAGTGCAGATGGCCACAAATCCTCGACTTCTCTCATAAGCATAAACCTAAACTGTAAACTGTGTGGAGCCGATGCAAATGGCAGCTTACATAGAAACATGCGAAGGCAGGGCAAATAGTCACAACCACCAAATCCTTAATCCCCCACAGAGAAAGTTATGCTTCATTAATTCCGATTTAGATAGCTGTAAAAATTTGAGGACTACTGCCAGTGCATTTCTCGCTCCCCTGTATGCACAGCTAGGGTTAGAGTTTAACAAATATGCTGGTGTGAGAGTGTAAAAGTACGAAGTCCTTAAAACAAAGAATAGGGCAACTCAGCAGCTGGAGGTTCGTTTGAAAGATGATAGCAAAAACCAACCTAGACATCATATTAGTTGCATCTGCGACATTCGGCGAGAAATGTATGTTCTTGTGAAGCAAATGTATCTATGGTGCTGCTGAACCAGCATCTACTAGATTGAACAGCACGTAAGAACCAAAGTTCTCTATTTCGCGCACACTTTAGGGTTCGGGCTTCCGATCGTAGACTCTAGAACTTAGGGGTTATTGGTATAGGATTTATGAACAGATATTCTGCTTCGTCTCCCTACTTGGACTGGTTGTTCTACCGCGCGGGTTTGAAGTGCAGACAGGCCGGCTGGGAGGGCACAGCCTTCTGGATGCTGAGCAGGTGTCACAAAACGCTAACTCCTAAATCTTAAACCCTGGACACAGTACAAGACAGCAAATTCGTCTGGGTGAACAAACGAAGGCGTGGAGGTGTCTACAGCATCAGATTCTCTCTCAGGCTTAGGTACTGTGCAGGCGCTTGTTTGCTTCGTTTATAGGTATTTAGACATCTGTGACTGCATCGAAGAAGGAAAGCCGACGATGATTGATTCGCAGCTGTTGACTGACATGGGACTCCCTCCTCTCAAGCTGCAGGACCTGCCAAGGCACCATTCTGTGTTCGTCTTCTGCCATCGCTCTTGTCTCTATAATACAGCATTAGTTCATGATACTGTTTAGTAATATTCCGTGTTTCGTTCAACCATCTATGCACGCATGCATACATATGTGGCTTTCGTTTCACAACTATCACGAATATACATAGCACATTTTCTATGTCTGCTCTCTCCTCTCCCCTGCACGTATCATTAAAAACATAATAAATTGTGTATTCTTCCATACAGCTACTATCCGTCCATACAGCTGCGTGTATATGTAACTACGTACGAGGTACCATTCATACTGATTTCTCATAATCAACAACTACCCTGGCCGTTCCTTCTGCTCGTTTCAGTTTGTCTACCGTTGAGAAAATAAAACCATACACCGGCAATCAAATACGAACGTGATAATGAATGATTAAGCTGCGCACAACCGCTTACCATATTGTGTCTGTTGCACTTAATCATTCTTCATTATCACGTTTGTATTTGGCTGCCGGTGTCATACATATTCAGAACCAACCTGCAGCAGGAGCAGGCAAGAGATTTGGTGTTGGGTTGGAGCGTTACCCCAACCTTAAAGCCGGAAGTACAGATGCGGTACGTGAATCGTGTTGCGAACTCCCGTTTCATAACGAAAACAACCTTGTGGGTGCTGTGTTCACTTTTAAATGGCTACACACAAACTCTATTATGGCATGGCACTATATTATATTAATATCGACTCATAGTTAAAACGCACTGACAGCGGTGATGTGCGGTTTCACTAAATGCAGCAGTAAGAGCTGCTGCATTTATTGAAGCAGCAGCTCTTACTGCTGCATTGCTTGATGCAATTCCAGCTGTGATTTTCGTTGCCTCATGCTATCCATCTGCTCTACTATACGTACTCTGGTCTTATGGTGTATACGTCATTCCACGCAAAATTACATCATGACTTTATAGTATATTTGACTGTTCACATGGACAATGAACAGGAACTGAACAATTATACTGTGAACCCATCAGGTTCATATTGATGTACCTATATTTCGGCTAAATTGGCATTATCCATTTCATGACTTACGACCACGGACCACTGATGTACACATGTGAATGCATGCATGCCTGCATCTGCACGTTACATGTACACGCATGCTCCCACATGTACTACACTGTTAGCAGGCGCTAAAGGTAAGAGCCATACAATGTGATCAGCACCTGTCAATCGCGAGGCGACGGATTATGCATTTGTCGTTTAGCGTACGTGAGAAACACCTAGAACATACGTGCATGAGAGTTTGTTTCTGTGTTGCAGCAAATGTGACGGATGCGGGGCATCGGTGTGTATGTGGGCCTTGACTTGCAGCTGCTGCAGCAAGCAGCAGGAATCATGCAGCGTTACAGGATTTCCTATTCCTGACGGATACAAGAGCTGCTGCTGTGCTTGCAACAGCCACGCAATTGCTGCTCACTTAGCTGCATATGTTAAATGTTTCGGCGCGTGCCCTTGGTGCTACGCAACGCTAACAGCGCATGCTGTTTAAGCCAGCACCAAAAGATATTTATATATTTCAAATTGTATATTTTATAACTCTACTATTGGATATCTATGCCCGTGTCTATTTATGTATGCTATCTAAATGCCTAACCATGATGGACCATGGGGCTGCTAGTGACTGTCGTCAGCCTCGATAGGGTTACTACACCCTAACCACACACTCCACCCTATCGTGGGCTTTGTGCTACAAGTGGGCTGTCTTGAGTGTGCCCACCAGGCAATGAAGGGGTAATCTTTCGTGAATGCAGCTAGACAACAATGGTCATTTCAAAGAAGTTCAAAGAGATGAAAGGGGTTGTTGTGGCCCCTTGCCGCCTCCGACTCGAAAAACAAAACAACACTGCCAAAGAAAAACCAAAAGTCCCAACTTCTGCTGTCACCAGGTGCAGGTACACCAGAGTAGTGACAACAACGCTGTGGTTTGTTCACACACCGCTGCAGAGCGGTGAAATGTCTAGGAAAAGAAAAAACGCGACGACACATATACCTTCATATACACTTACATGCATATAGATGTGCATACATGCATACATTTACGTATGTATACAAGTATGTATACAAGTATGTACGTATGGCTGTACAAATTAACATATATTCCTTTATGCATGCACACCGTACACAATCAAATAAATGTACTGCCTGCCCTTTTCTGCATTCATAAATTATATGTGTGTTCGTACACCGCCGTTGATCCCTCCTCTTGCCGCCAGCAGCTTGAATAACGAGAGGTACCCTCTGAATAACTGGTGGATTGCGGGTTAGGGAATCGACAAAGCTGCATGCATCCCAGCGGAGCAAGCCCACCAATCGACACGGGCCAGTTTTCCTCTTATTCTTCAATCTAATCTTCAGATGAGGATGCAGGTGCTACTGTTGTTGAGGTGGTAGTCTCAAGAAAAGAAGGCTCCTGGGTAGATGCCGTTGTTGCATCCTCCAATTCCGGAGAGGCAGAACTTGTTGCTGTCACTCCTTCCTCTTCTTCGTCAGATGATAATGGTGGTGCAGTTGTTGTCTCTGTTTCCGATCCCGAGTCTGCTTCTGTCTCGCTATCTTGCTTGTTGGCTTTTCCAACGACGGGGAGTGAGACGAGTACTGCATCGTCCTCAGAATCGAGAAACTCGTCACTGAAGGGCTGGGGGCCCTCGGGGTTCTCTGGGTCTCCTTCAAAGAAGATATCAGGCAGAGGTACTGCGCCATTAGCAGCAACGCGTTTTGCTTTGCCGAGGTCCCTGTTGCCGTCGTTGTTGCGCTTCTGTTTGTTCTCTAGGTGACGGAGGTAGCGGAAGGTACCATAGTAGGGGTAGGTGCTGGTGTATGGTGACCAGTAGCGGTTTCCCCAGCCGTAACCGTAGCCCAAGCCGCCGTAGCCGTAGCCATAGGGGTTATAATAGCTCACATACGGGCTGTATCCACCCCATCCGTAGCCATATCTCCCGCGGCCCCAGTAGCGACCTCCACTAGGCCAGCCGTAGTAGAACTGAGCATTCGCCTCCTCCACAACACCAGAATTAGGGCCCAAGAAGAAGAGAGCACACAAAGCACTCAGAAGAGGCAGCCAACGCCCACGTGAGAGGAAACTTAAGCAGTACATTCTCGAAATTGACCAGGATCTAACAACGGGAAAGCAGATAAAAAATTTACTTCAAAACAAATGTACGCTAGCACACACACAAACACACAACTTCTACACGTCAAATAATACAACAAACAACGAAGGGCGGCCAAGAACACAAATACCTGCTACACAAGTAACCAAGGAAGAAATAAGAGGAAATGACGTATAATGACGAGCTCAGGGGGGGTGCTCAGAATGCGCGGGTTCTCACAAGCTAGCTCGTCGACACGGGGGGGGTGTTCTTCAGCGCGGCTGTGCTTTCAAGCCGTATACCAACGGTCGTTCGACTTTCGGGCGTATTATTGCATGCATGCATTGCGTAATACTATTTATATTAGTTAATTCAGGGGTTTGAAAATTAATGTGCACAGAAGGCTTGTGTGCTCTCTTTGTTTTCTCCTGAACCCAGGGTCGCGGCGAATGCCGATGCGGCGAATCGAGGTATTACATGATCAATCAAAGTAACAAGAACGCACTAAATCAAGTATTTCATAAATTCAATTTTTTGAAACCTTCATAGTTCAAAATAATTTGCGAAAGCGAATTACAAATGTAAGTGCCATACCGTCTCCGAAGTTCCGCCGATGCTCTAGGGAAGAGTGACCTCGAGATGCTCATGCATGGTTTATGAGCAGTCGCCCTCTCCGTGTACAAGGTTTAATTTCCTTGCTATGAAAACTGTATATTTAAGCAGAAATGAAAACAAGGTGATTCTGAGACGGGATGTAGCTTGATGCCAGTCAAGGCGATTCTCGCCTTGTGCGCAAGGAGAAAGCAGCAGGAACTTTAGAATATGATCCCTAAACCCGTCAACAAACTCCAGTTATCAAACGAAAGACTGGCGAATCCCCTCAAAAACTGAGAGATACACCTGTAAACAAACGGGTTGTTCGGTGTGCAATCGTTGCCGATCACGACAATTGCTTTGCATATGAATGGAGGCTAAATGCAAACTTTCCATTTTGTTGTTGATAGAAAGACAGAAAGAGAATGCACGTCAGCATTTAAGCAGAATAATGTATTCCCGCGTACATATCCTGTTTCTCATGTGCAGCAGCCAGTGGTTTCGTCTAATTAAATTTAGTGCTTTTGTATAATGTTGAGAAGTGTGCAGTGGCTCTAAAGCCATTCCCGTTTGCATTATTCTGTAGCAACAGGCTGTGGGGCAACTCAGTCGACTGGGAAATCACCCTCCCAGTCGAGTGTATGGCATGCTCGTGGCTAATGCCTTTACATGTGTGAAGGCAATACTCTTCTCGTGCATAAGCTATGGATCTTTCAGTCGCTTGTAAAATTTTTTAATGAGCAGTAATGATTCCTCTTCTGCTACTCCGAAATGGTTGCAGCAGGTGTACGCGGCCCTGCCTTCTGCCGCTGGGGAAATCTTGGCCTCCTCTGCCTACCAAGGCGGTTTGATCAGAGAAAATATGAAATACACAAATATATGCCAATACCAAAACACATAAAAAGAGCATGCAAACGGTGAGGGCGAATGGCAATTTTCCCAAAGCACTGCAGTTACCTAAACCATAAACCCCAGTCTACGATTTGTTGGATAGCGATAGCAGTCAAGGGTCTCTTAGCTGCAGCTATATCGGTCTACAACTTGGAACCTTTGGAATCCCTATGCGTAAAATCGGACTGGAAAATGTTATACATTTTAGCAGCTGCCCTAACCGCGTGTCTAAATACACATGCGTGTATATAATGTGCATTATACATATGTGTATGTGCTGTGTTTAACAGCATACAGGACCCCTTGGGGGTGTATGGGAAACAAATACATTATGTCAGTCTGTTGAAGATAATAAGAGTTGGTTACGTTTGTTTTAGTGGGTTTTGATTTTAGCTCGTTTTCTTTTTCCATGAGACGGGAGGAGGCCTGCTTTCTTAAAGGCCTTTGTGGCACTGACGACACCCCCGCACTTGGCTACTCTTTCTAGGATTGCATGCGAGGCCTTATAACAAGAGTGTACCAACACCTCCTTCACCTCCTCTGCGGTCATATCAGGGTTCTCATACCGAAGAAGGCCCACTAATGCAGTAACTATTGGAGTAGCAAACGATGTTCCGCTCGCTTTGATGTAACCTATGGAGGCAGCGCAAAGAAACATCAACACAAATAGAAAAGAAATAAACAGAGAAATTGGCATGTGCAATTTGCGCGAGAATTACCCACATATAGTTATACTGGGAGACAAAGCTGATAACACCAAATAAAGAAACGAACAAAAGTGCAGTCTACGGCACCGAAGGTATCAACAGACGAATACGAAGCGCTCGAGGAACATTTGCAGGAATCCCAATGCTCTTTAGCTTGTTGGTGGGAACAAAAGAAGGTAGACGCATGAATACAGGCACCGCATCCCCACTTTATGCATGCACCCATGGCTGGCCCCGTGCATACATGTATATGTTTGCCTTGCCTTCTTTGGTTATATCGCTGCATGCGATGATATTTTCACCCGGAGCAAGTACATGAATTTTCGGATTTTTGGAAGAGTCAAAGTTTGTAAATCTTGTTGGTTTTCCGTTAGCTGCAATTGCAGCGACGGCAATTAAGTTGGGAAAGAGATCGCCATATGCAGCTGGGAAGCCCTTGACAACTCCTTTAGGAGATAAACATGCTGCAGTGTATACGGAAGCAAAATCACAACGGTGGTTTCCTGCTGCCACCACCAAGCTCATACCACGAGCAGCAGCCACTGCAAGTGTTGCTCGCAATGCAGCCGAACTGCAGACACCCACATGCACACACAAGTACACACACAGACGGACAAACAGACAAACAAACACACAAACACTCATCCATACACACACAGAGACACGCACACTCTTGCATGCACCTATGCACACTGACTGTGTATGAATCCATTTGCATGTTAGTGCATGCACACGGATTGTGTTTGTATGCATCTGCTTGCAATCTGCGATCTTGCACACGGATTCGTGCTTGCGTTCCTGGCATGCGCACGTCCCGTCAGATTGGGCGCATGCATGCAAAGTTCATGCTTCCACGAATGCATGCATGCTTGAAGGCATGCAGATGAAGATGACAGACGTGTCTGGAATGTTATTGCTTGTGCGTTCGATGGCATTATTATAATGCTGCAGCATATCAAACGCGGTGTCTACCGCTACTCTTGCAAATGGAGGCAAAGGACTCACGGCGGTCCCCCAAAGCTCATGTTTACAACTTGAACCATTTTGTCGGCTGCGTAGTTGAGGGCCTCTGCAATTTGAGAATACGACCCCTACAAAATGTTTGCAGGCAAAAGCAGAGGAAGAAAGGAAACAATTCTTCACACAATATAGGGATGTATCTGCATGAAAACCCAGAGAAAGTAGCCTTTATTTTGGGGCTTCCTTACGTCAACTTTCAAAGCCATAGGGCGCAAATTCCAACCCAAAGAGGCAATGCCTTTGTCGTTGTTTGTGGTGGCACAGCATGCACTCGAGACAGCTGTGCCATGAGGCCCGTAGAATGCAGAGGGATCAGCACTGCGGTCGGCAAAGCTCTGAACAAAAAGGCCGAAAAAGCATACTACTTTAAATAACGGGAGCATGCAACAGAATAGTAGGGTTAACAACGGGGAGTGTTCAAGCAAAGCCCGCAAAATTCATGAAGATGGACCCACTGCCGCCCTAACATGCATCTAAATCTGCACTAACTGTCGAAAGCAGTAATTGCATCAGAGAAAGTGCACTTTGAGTGTATGCATACATGCATGCTATGCCGATGGTTTGGTGCATGCATGCACATTTGGTTATTCATACTCCATTAGGTGACATATCGATGTATTCGACTTTCCCTGCTTAACAGGAAGCTTGCGTACAGGAAGTATGCATGCATGCGCTCAGCACAGAACGTTGCATACAATTACAGAAGGTGTTGCATCCATGCGTGCAACTCCTTCTGATCAATCCATGAACGCAGCCTTACGTATCCCATGCAGTCATCGACATATCCGTTTCCATCGTTGTCAATTCCATCAAAACAATTATGAGGCCACTCGGAGTATTCGGGGAAATCGAAGGAAACATTTCTCCACCAGCTGTCTACCATGTCCTCATGAGCTGCATGCACACACAATTCGATTTGTCTCTGTTTTTGTATATTTGTTCGCTGTTTGTATACGTTCTCTTGTGTGTGTCTCTCTCTATGTCAATGCCTGCCTTTTGGTGGTTAATACCTGTCTCCTCCTCTTTGAATGTTGTGAGTTCGTTCCTCCCTTTTGTATTATTATATATTATGAAATACATATATTATGTGCATATTATGTTATAATCATAACAATAATAGTTTATTCCTCTATTTTAATTGTTATCCTTCTTTATATTTTGTTTGTTTGCCTACCCAAATTAAAACCAAAATCAATTACTGCTATTGTATTCAAAGGTTGCTCCAGTACTGTGCCGCCTCCGCCTAAAAAAAGAAAAAACAGAAACAAAACAGAGAAAAAAAGGGGTGCATTTAGCTGTATCCGCATAAAAGGGACTATTGCACATTAATCAAATATACATTTACTCACTCGCTTTCCATGCACTTTGCATGCATGCATTTTTGCAAACATAGAAAGAAACGTGCAGTCGCACAAGCGCATGAATATATACCTACTTGTATTTCTACAGGTACCTGCATGCATGCATGCAATACGTGCTCATATAGTCATTGTCTACGTCTGCAAAGAATCCGCATGCAAATATTATGTGTATATTTGCATGCATTACATAGATGACAAATATATTGCCTCCACTACTTCGCTCATTTTAAGTTTCTTTTAATCATATTTCCTTACACATAATATACATGTACATATTTCAATATATTTATAAATTATATTATAATATGCGCATACGTAGATGTGCCTGCATGCATGCAGAACGGGTTTCCTGTTAAAACACCGAAGGCCAGAGGACATTCACGATACAATCCACTTGCTAATATCTCTGCATTTGTTGAATAAAATAAATAATAGAGTAAAAAAGCTGCAGGGAGAAGAGAGTAAATAGAAGTAATTATATAAATGGGAGCAAGCCGTAAGAAGATAGAAGGGGCGCGGAGTAAAGTAGGGGAGAAAAAACGCCCAGTAAGGACCCCTAGAGCAGCATATACACCTGAACTATAATTTACTATGCACACATGCATGCGCATGCATACAGCTGCATGGGGGTGTTTGCATGAGCTGCACTGCAACAGGAGCGCATGCATGCGCCGATATAAGAAAGAAGAAAAAGTACCAATTGAGGCCTTCCATGCCTGCTGCGCCTGGACCCCTCCCTCCTCTTGCAGCTCCCATTGTGCCCCTGAGAGCAAGTAGGGATCGTTAGGCCAGTGTGGGGTTGGGAACGGATCCTCGGAGATCGGTTCCTCAAAAAACGGATCCCCTGGGATCCGATCCCCAGACCCGATCCCAGACGATCCCTTCCCCTTTGGGGCACGAGAGAGCGTCTTCTTTGACCATCCATAAGGAGACGCCTTATGGTCAAAGTCCACAGCCAATACGCATGCATGTGCGAGGGCAACTTCCTTTATTAACCAGAAATAAAACACAAGACACACACAAGGCAATAATATACACACAAAGAGAAGATTATATGCATACGTTTACGTCTGCATGCGCATATATGCATATTATATCTATTTATAAGTACATATATGAATATTATATACGTACAATACACATAGATATACTATACATACGTACATATACAGATACAATATGTATGCATAGAAACAAAATATACTTCTTGCATGCATTATTTGCTGCTGTTGTTGTGCTTGCATGCGTGTATGGTGGGGTTGTAGTAATAGCACAACAATAATAAACAAATAAATAGATAAATAAATAAGTAAATAAATAAATAAATAATTACTTACCTTAAGTATATCGGGGTTAATATACTTAGTACAATGTTTAGTAGAAATAACAACACAATTAAGATGATGGAGGGTAACATGATCTAGATAACACAAAGAGGACTCTGTCTCCTTTATTTCTCCACGGAAGGAAGCAGCAGGAGCAGCAGCAGCAGCAGCAGCAGCAGCACCATCAGCAGCAGCAGCAGGGTCCTT